ATCCCACACGGGCGGTTGTGAAGGGGGGCAGGAGAGGCGGCTGGATCAGAAGGCGCTGGCAAGAAGAGGGCAAAGAGAAGTAGGCTCCTAGGGCACGAGGCGCTGGGTAAGCCAAGGCGCCTTCGACAAATCAGGGAGACGAGGCGCTTTGATTCAGGGAAGAACAATATTGTTGTTGCCCAGACGGCTAGGGCGCACGGCGAGAGGAAAAGCGTGGAGGCGTTTGTCGTGTGCTCAGGTCGGCTTAGGCGCATGAACGAAGCAGGGGGGATCTTAAATAAGGTGCGAAGTTGGAGCGCTGGGGAAAGAAGGCTCCTGGTAGGAAACTAAGGCGGCGGAATTTGGGCGCCCCGGGGAAGAGTCCCAGGAAGAGCATCAACTCAGTGCGCTAGAGTACGAAGAGAGGGCGCCGACTAAGAAACTAGGGTTGGGTTGTAGGCGCCTTGAGGAAAGATTAAGGTTTTATGGCCGGGTGGGGGCCCGGGAAAAAGTTAGACGAATATTAATGGTGGGGGGCATTTGAGTCGAGGGCGCCTCCGGTCCGCAAGGGGCGCCTATGCATTTTTGGTAAGATCGAGACGCTTGTTCTAGAAGGACGTTAGTCACAGCAAAGTGGGGGGCAAGCGGTCGCCGCGATATAAGTCCGAAGGAGTAAAAGCCTAATAGTTAGGCGCTCAAGGAATCCAAAGCTTGAGCACCTAACTGGGGGGTAATTGTTGGGGGTGCACGAATGAGAAGGCCTCGACATGAGCGAGGCCCATTAAGAGGCATGAAGTCCAAATAGTCTCGAGGAAAGCGGGGCTCACTCGAGACTCGAGAATGGGCCGTGATTGGCGCCCATGGGTCTAGATCAGAATGGCAAGTTGACTCGAGAATGGGCCGTGATTGGCGCCCATGGGTCTAGATCAGAATGGTAGTACTTGCGTGTTAGGCGTCTAGGATGCACTCGGTAGTTGGGCGCACCTAAAGAAGGCGCTCGCGATCACCTTCAGAAGGAGCGCCCGGAATAACCCGCATTAAATGCAAGGGTGACGTGGAAATCCGTACAGGAAGGTCCAGGTAAGCAATGATCGGCTATAAATAGCGAGGTTGGTAAGCATTTACTCAATTTGGCTTCTCTCACTAAAAATTGTGCATAACAAGCACTTCTCTCTCTAAGAAAGATACTGACTTGAGCGTTGGAGGACTAACGGGCCACAAGGCCCACCTCTGTGAGTGCAGGCTTCATTGGGAGAGAGTCAGCTGGTACGGAAGAAGAGTCGGTCGATCGAGAGGGCTTCAACACATTCAATACTAACTTTTTTACCTTTGGAACAAAAACACAATCTAAACCTCCAAACAAATATTTACCTAATACATCAATTGATTCAATCCATCAAATGATAATACACTAATTGTCCCAATACATCAATTTCAAGAATCACAACTTCCAAACAATTAGTTTTCAGCATGTCTTCTTCAATCTCAAAAGTAATGGTGTGTGGTATCGATATCCCAATATCCAGTTTTATTTTGTATTAAGCGCGAGTCAAGCCAGGTTATATCTGTACGGAAACACAGTAATGCATGTTGATCCATCCTTATATGTTGTTTGAAAAAATGTATATTCAATTCTTTTACAAAAAAAACTAAGAGAAAATACTTCATAAATTGCTGAAAGTTCGAGTTTTAAACAATTAGCTGACTTTTGGTTACAATCATTTATCAATTTCAAAGTTCAATTGTTAGTTTAGCCGTATAATTCATTTGTTTATTTATTTGTTAATTCCTATTAGAATCTCAACACTATTATCATTCTTATCTTAATTTATTTTGCATGATGTCATAACAAATCCACATGTACACGTTTATGAATAGTGACATACATTACTGATTATTATTATGTTCGAAGATATTATTTTGGTAGCATTAATTGTAGATAGACATTTGATCATAGAATTAAAGGGGCATTTCACATGGGCATATTCTATTTAGCACAGTCAGTAATTACTCCGTTTAATACACATATATGTATCAATAAGTATTTTATCCATTTAAAAGTTTCGTATTTGTATTATTGTCAAGCCGTTTAGTTTTTTTTTATTCATTTGATGACTCCCGTACTAAACACGTATGCTATTTAGTACGATTCATATGCGACAACTTATTTGAGATGATTTTTGTTGTTTTACTACACTTAATTTGATATTATGTTCTTGGACTTTAAATTCTATTAATCTGAATCTATCTATAGATATAATCTGTTGTGCACATTATAAGAATTTAAAAGTCTTCCAAGTATTCTCCAAATAGTATTTGGCAAAAATAATTATTCCAATACAAAATAGAAGCTAAATATAAAAAACATATACGAAATAGAAAATCAAACATAAATTAATACAAAGTTGTCCGCATTTGTCCATTCTATTCCGTCCGCATTCCGTCTCTCCACCTTTCCGTCCAAAAGGAAACTAACACTTAATAATTAATTTATATAGTTTAGACTAATATTGGGGTGACACGTGGACGGATAGCAGCGTTCGGCTGCAAGCCTGCAACCCGTACAGCAGCCAAATTTCACTCAACCATAGTTGTCACTGGTTGTACCGGATTCAATCGATACCGGTCATAAAACAGGCGTGACACCACCGGTATGACCGGCATGATCGATATACGAATCTCTAAGTAAAATGACTTTAATTTAGAGGATTTAATTGATAAAAATTATTTTATGAGTATAAAAGTTAAATATTGATGTTATTTGTTGGATTCAAGTATAAATGTTTAGGTATTGACGTTAAATGTCATGTTTGAATATGAATATTTATAATTTTATTTGTAATATTGACCGGCATGAACCGGCACAAACCGATATGTGCCACCGGTTGAACCATTCCACTTGTTAAACCGGCACATTGGCATAAACCAGACTTGTGTCATTTTAGGAATATTTGGAATCTTTTGACAGAAGCAGGGTCTATTTGGGTTGCCTGGGTTTTGCAAGTACATAATTAAGCAGAGGACTTTATTGAATCTAAAGCCATCTACTAGGGGTTCGTGGGTGTAGTGTCGCATTCTGAAGTGTAAATCCCAATCTCAATATTTTACATATTTGACAACCTTGCATTCAACCGACCCCATAACACACTGTTTTGACGCCGGATGGTCTGTGTGAACCAACCACATATATGAATTTATTGCTCGGAAAGCCAACCCCACAGCACAACCAGCTATGGACAACATGCATGCACGTTTCGTCTTTTTCCACCGTAGCCAAATAAAATATATCCCCACTTACGGGCTTCACGTAGTAACAAGGTTGTCAAACCGGTTTATGCCAGTGTGCCGGTTTAGCAAGTGGAATGGTTCGACCGGTGGCACATACTGGTTTGTGCCGGTTCATGCCGGTCAATATTACAAATAAAATTATAAATATTCATATTCAAACATGACATTTAACGTCAATACCTAAACATTTATACTTGAATCCAACAAATAACATCAATATTTAACTTTTATACTCATAAAATATATAATAAAATTATTTTTATCAATTAAACTCACTAAAATGAGGCCATTTACTTAGAGATTCGTATATCGATCATGCCGGTCATACCGTTGATGTCACGCCGATTTTATAACCGGTATTGGTTGAACCAGATTCAACCGGTGGCATGCCAGCCGGCGTGACAACCATGCGTAGTAACAACTAACAAGTGAGGCTGTCAGCTCCGTAACAAAATTAAAAGCTCCGGTGCCAAACCAAACTTGCAGACTGACAACCCAAGAAACCTACCACCAACAACAAGAGCCAACAGTTAGGTAGCAGAAAAAATATATTTTCTTTTCTTCCTTTCACAACCGACAATCCCAGCTCTTGTAACATAATTAAGCTTGCAAAACAGCGACCGAAAAAACAAGCCCTGCAATTTCCAAGCATCCAAAAGGAGAAACAACTGACTAGAGGTGTAAGGTTGACTCGGAAGGCACACCATCCCATCCCATCTCTGAAGGTCGAGACAAGTCAGTTTGTCTACAAGGTCAGATTAGTAACTGGTCATTTGTTGACCCTGTAACGGTCGGGATGGATAGGGACAACTTAGGGACGGGTTACTTTTTGATCCTGTGACCCTTAGCAACAACAAATATCTCTTACCACATTGGACCTCTTTGTAAAGTTTTAAAATTTTAGGTACTAACTTGTAAAAATAAAATAAAAATGGATACCAATACGTAATTTTACCATCAAAATTGATGGACTTATTTATAAAAAAAAATAAATTTTAGGTACTAAATTGCAAGAAAAATAATTCTGGGTACCAAAACATAATTTAGAAAAAAGTAGTGTGTTGATTAGGATCGACCAACTGTCCCGGCCCGTCCCGACCCTTGAGGGCCAGACAAGGACGGGACGTGTCAGTTATACATCTTGACCCTTTAAGGACGGGTCAGGTAGGGTCAGGGACGGGACAGACAAATTTTCAGCCCTACAACTGAGTAGGGCTAAATTAACCAAACAGAGCGGGAGAACTTTTTGAATGTTGTTACTGTTTCTGATAGACTAGTCACTTTCAACCCCAATAAAAAGTGTGTCAAGACAAGAGCCAATGAAGGAGGGGTCAATCAATTGTAAGTACAAGCCATCGCAATGGGCAGGTGGGAGACAATGAAGGGGGTCAATTAGTAGGCATTGCAATGGGTGCAGGTCGATGGGGTATCTTGCTATTTACACCTACTTAATTTGTGATAGATTGGGTTCAGTAAAAGATATTATTATATTTTGGGCATGGGTCGGGTGAGATTGACTTGAAGGAACACACTTGAAATATTCATTTAAAAAAAAAAAAGAGAAACAAACTATGACATAATAAATATAATTCAATTATTAAAAAAATTAAAGTTTTCGTATATTCACAACCCTATCACATCCTGTGAAGTGAGCATTACCCACCTCACAAGTCACAACAGGTCCAACAAGTCAGATATAATGAGTCAAATCAACTTTGTCCTCTAAGTCCTAACCACCGTCCCTCAAGTTGATCGGTGGCATTTGTTTTTCGAAACTCCCAAAACTCAGCACCCGGCCTCAACACCCAACCCTGAAAAACGCATTCACAATCAATGATGGAAAATATTATTATAGTTATAGGACGCCTCTTGTTCCTTCTTTTGGCGCTGGAATTCCAGCTGCAGGCATTCTTCAGCTCTGCCTCTGCCTCCAAAGCAGCTAGTGGAATCAAGTATCTTCCTGGATTCGATGGCCCGCTTCCATTCTACTTGGAAACAGGGTGAGAGTTTTATACAAGTAATGATGCCGCTATGAATCGCGTAATCGTATTACTACTGACTAGCTGATTACGGTTGTGGGGGGAAAGGTATATTGGCGTGGGAGAAGCAGAGGAGGTGCAGCTGTTTTACTATTTTGTCAAGTCAGAGAGGAATCCAGAGCAAGACCCTCTCATACTCTGGCTTACTGGAGGTCCTGGCTGCTCGTCCTTGTCTGGTCTCGCCTTTGAGATCGGTAATTAACCATCTACTTTCTGGCTGGCTGAGTTCATCTTATCATTAAATCTGATGTTTTCGTGGAGTTTTCTGATCACTGTTGAATCCAATGGTTGAAGGTCCTGTTCGGTTTAAAGTGGTCGAATATAATGGGAGCTTACCCACATTGGTCTTGAATCCTGACTCTTGGACAAAGGTAGAACCAAAGAAATCAACCATCTTTCGTTTGCATACGTGATTCTCCTCTTGGGTCGGCATTTAGAGTCTGCTGAATTATAGATCAACCGGTTTACATGTGAACTAAGTTGCAAGCTAATCAGGTTATGGTTTGAGCAAGTTGATTGAGGTTAGCCAAAACTTGAACAAATGCTAGATATTGACTTATTGAGTAGTGTCACTTGTGTCATCAGTTGTGTGCAAACGGGCAGATTGGGGTTTGGGGCATAATTCAGATTGAGTTAATTAGGTTGCTGTTCAATTTCTAATTTAATGATAATATTATGTCACCATTATTATAAAAAAAAAAAAGTTGTTCAATGGCTATACAAAACGTATGTTAATTGAGTAGTGCTAATGGAGATGCGTGTTGATAAGATTTTAGGTGAATTCGATTAAATAGGACTCATTTAGTATAGTTTTGTAATAGATGTGGTTACAATACAGTAGTGAGAACAGAGACAACCACAACACTATAAAATTGAATAAAAAAACCGAAACACGTTAGTCGGTAATTCTAACAAATTATGGAAGTTGAAATTTTTTAATATTTGGTTAATTTATTAGGTGTTGTTTCACCCACAAAAAAAATTATTAGGTGTTGTTTAGTATCAGTGCTGATACTTAGAAAATAATGGAAGGAATATGGTGACGAGTTGTGAGAAAATTGAGGGGTAAGAAAATATAAAAATAATAATGACAATCAGGTTTCGAGGATGAGTTATGCAAATATATAGAAAGTGAATCTAGTGAGATTTGTTCATAAACTCGTTTAAATGAAATTATTACAACAACTGATAGGATCCCACAAGAAACAACAATGGCGATATTTAAAGTTGTTTCACTGTTTTAGCTACTATACATTGTGTTGTCAACTCTTGTGTCACAAGTCCCTGTTTTTCGCAACAGAAAAGAATACTAAACAAGCACATAGACTTGATATCTAGCTCGTGTTTGTGGAAACTTAAATGATACTCACTTTTACATTGTTCCTAATATTATCAGGTTTCCAGTATAATATTTTTGGACCTCCCAGTTGGAGCAGGGTTCTCCTATGCAACAAGCGAGCCCGCTTCCCGATCAAGTGACAAAGTACAAGCATCCCAAGCTGTCGAATTTATGCGAAAAGTAATACTCGCTTCCTCTTATTCCCAACTAATATGAAATCAAAGTTATGACATGCAATCGTCTAACCAATAGAATTAATGATGCACAGTGGCTAAAGAAACATCCGAAGTTCCAAACAAATCAATTTTACATCGGCGGAGATTCCTATGCGGGCATCCCTCTACCCATCGTGGTTCAAATCATTTCTTACGGTATATGAAAATATTTCACAGATCAATCTTTACTTGTTGATTCAATGGTACCAAATTCTCTACCTAGTTGTTTGGAGCATTTATACTATGCTATATAGTATTGGTGCTTTAATGTACAACTTAAAGTTGTATCATAACATGAAATGTATAAGTTTAGATTGTACCATAAAAGAATTTGTACCATTATGTTATGGTACAACTTTACAACTTAAAGTTGTACCATAACATAAAGGTACAAGTTCAAGTTGTACCATAAAAGAATTTGTACAAACAGTATAGGTATAATCTAAAGTTGTACCATAACGTTAAATGTACAATTTCAAGTTGTATCATAAAGACAAAAACTTATGGCACCAATACTATATAGCATTGTAAAATTCCTCATTTGTCTGTCAGTTTATCTATCGATCAATATGTGTGTTTTTATGAAATCCTATTGTGTGCAGAAAATGAAATGGGCATCAAGCCTATATTCAATCTCAAGGTTGGTTATACTTGAAATTACAACCAAAACCATTGTGTTGCGTTCCATTGAAAAAGAACTTTCTATGTCGTGAATTTTCCTTCTTTGCTATAATTTTTTTCCGAAAAACTCTTTCTTTCAAGGGATATATACTCGGGAACCCGTTGACAAACTTTAGAACTGATGCTAACTCAAAAATCTCAACTGCGCATGGATTGACACTCATTTCAGATGAACTTTACCAGGTATGACAAATGAGCTCGATCGATCAAATTAAATTGTTGCTTGGGCCACGATTTCATCTTTTGTCTTATGTAGTAATATGTGACTATGTAAAGTGTACTTGCAAAAAACGGTTCACAATTTTGAGTGCAACTTATTTACATCTTTTATGTGTTGCATACAGTCATTGAAGACAAGTTGTGGCGAGGAATATCACGATGTTGATCCTACCAATCATGAATGTATCAACAATTTAGATGCTTTTGATGAGGTAAATGTGCTTTTGAATGACAAAGTTTTTTTATGAAAAGTTTAAATCGTGTGTCGATCTAATGATGATGAAGATAACCATATTGCAACAAAATTCAGTGTTTGTCAGGATTATACACTGAGAACATATTATATCCAAAGTGTGCAATAGCTTCTCCAAAGCCAATAATGGAGGAGATCCAGATGGACAAGAGGAGGAGATTCCTATGGGACAAATATAGACAACAATCTCTATCTATAGATGTTCCTACATTCGGTTGTCCGGTTAGCCAATATATATTTGACTTCTCTTCTTTTGCTTATTAAGAGTCAAATATTTATACTATGGTTGGGTTTTATGTTTGTAGACTTACCCTTACCTTCTTTCCGATTACTGGGCGAATGATGCAGTTGTCCGCAAAGCACTTCATGTGAGAAAGGTACAACAATAAACGTATGCAGCCAACATAAAAAATCATAATCTAATGTCATATTGTTATTTGTAAAAAAAAATTAAATTTATTATTATATGAATAAAAATCCAAGCAAAAGGTACGGTTCATCATTTAAAAATAGAGGAAGATAAAAGTTATGAAATTTTCTCTCAAAACGTTCCTAGAGACTTTTTATCCATCCAATTTCACCATAAATCCTTTTCTCTCATGTAGTAAGCTTGTCAAGGATGTTTTCATCATTTTCAACTTCAATCTCCTTTTTCGGATGGATAATTAGCTCTTCTGTTTTGAGTTTACATGGAGAACACTTTTTCCAACATAAAATTCATTTTACAAGAAGTTTTTTTTTTGGGGGGTGGGGGGGGGGGGGGGGGGGGGGGGTTGTTCTAAAATTAAAAGATAGCATTTTTTTGTTGTTAACTAAATTATTCACAATCTCATCTATTTATATCCTAAAAATATGTAATTCGTTATAAAATAGAAAGTTAATACAATCACAGTGGGACTCGAACCCACAATCTCCTGCTATGGAGGCGAGCTTCTTAAAATTCTCCTCTTATTATATGAATTACTTATCCAATAATCCATTATTATTTTACTAAAATCTTATCTACGTGATTTCTAGATTTATTTGATTTCAGCTAAATCATTAAATTAGCAGGTTAAGTTTTAAATATAATTATTTTATTATCATTATGAAGCGCGGACTAATAAGTTATTATATGTTACGAACAAGGGCTTGGTCTAGTGGTAATACCACTAGTCTAGAACCTGGAGGTCTCAGGTTCGAATCCCTTAAGTAGTACCTTAATCACAAAAAGAGAAACCTATATCACCCTTATAAAAAAAAAAAAAAGTTATTATATGTTACACCAATATTTTTTTTTCTTTGGTTGTTGGCCCAAAAGTTTGAAACTAGTGCGTGATGAATGTTTTTATCCCTACAAATATTGACCTCAAGCATGAATATCCCATCATGAATTCCTACCAAAGAGCAAACTAAGTAATCATTTTTATGCAGGACACAGTGCAGAGATGGATACGATGTAACTACAGGTTAGATTACAATTCAGATGTCAGCAGCAGCTTTCAGTATCATGTCTACCTTTCAACCAAGGGTTATCGTTCGTTGATATACAGGTTATTTCTTTACCAGTTTTGTCATCTCCTCTCTTTTGTGCCAATTTATCTGAAAAATAACGTGATGATGGCAGTACGTACATATGAGTTTTTGTACAGTGGGGATCATGATATGGTGGTACCATCAATGGGAACGCAAGCCTGGATTAGAGCTCTCAACTACTCCATTGTAGAAGATTGGCGATCATGGCACGTGGATGGCCAAGTTGGAGGGTATACAAGAACATACTCCAATGGAATGACATTTGCAACTGTCAAGGTGAGGGGAGATAGCTAATTAATGTGTTCATTCTCACGTTTTTGTCACGTCAACGAAATTCAATGTCTCTTTGACCACTGTTTGGTCAACTGTTATTTCCAACGGTCAATAAAAGTGTCAGGACATAAATGTCAAACACAGAAAGCTCGTGCTAGGATTGTCATATTGAATAGTTGAGTACATAAATGACATTTTTTAATAGTTTGGACTTTGGGTTTTTTTTACAGGGAGCTGGGCATATAGCAGTAGCGCACAAGCCTCTAGAGTGCTCGGTTTTGTTCAAAAGGTGGATAAATCAAGAGCCTCTGTGAAAACAAGATATGCAAAGAAAAGGTTCAAGTCAGTAACGCATAAATTTTTGCAAGAAAGACTTTATTTATATATAAATAAAGGGACGTCATACTGAAGTTGTTTAGGCAAGAAACTTTTGGTCCTGATTCAAGCTTTGTTTGCTAGATTTCTTCAAGGGTTGGCCTGATTAGTCGAAGGAAGGATGGGTATCACTCCCGTTATCTACACTCAAATGATCAATATTAGTTTCATTGTGAGGAAGAACACGGAGAGTAACGATAGAGAGAGATAAGGGTATGTAAAGTGAGGAGAGGAGAAGACTCTTTACTTGGAAGACATAATGTATGCTCTATATGCAAAAGCTTGTGTTACTGTTTTGGACTTTGATTGTAACTTGAAGGTGTTTGTGGGCTTGGGCACATATGCATATCGTTGTTAAGGTTCAGGTATGGCGAGCTCGTTTGCTTGATGGATTTGGTGAAGGATTTGGATCCATCATGGACTTTGTCCAAAATCCATTGTTTGCTTCATGCATTTAGGGAAAACAAATCCGTGGGTCCCACGAACTTTAAGGGACCAAATCCATGGACCCCACGGACTTGAAAGTTCCACCTATTTAGGTGGGAATTGATTATGGACTTTGAAGTCCATCATTTTTTGCCAACATACCCTTCATATTTGCTTTCTCTTATATCATTAAGGGCAATAAAGGTAAATTACATTTCATACATACAAATTTAATAAACAAAATCCATCATAAAATCCATCAAACAAACAATGGTGTTTATCAAATCCATAATAAACCTAAAACCCTCATTTATCCATGGTTTTTCAAAACCCAAGTTATACCAAAACCTTCATTTTACAGGTCTAGCAATTGTGCACACGTTATCTTAATGTCACGCCCGTGATCTTCCTTTTTCACTAATTGCAACCAGGCTGCCAAACCTTTTGTTTCCTCCTTCTTTGCATCCTTTCAATCTAAATGAATGAAAGCTTGATACAAACATTCCTTAACTTGCTAGAACCTAAATTTAGGAGAGAAAACATCACATAATCTAGCATAGAATACAATCATGGTTACCTACTAGGTAATCATGATCGTATTTCCTTCAGGCCTTTTACATCTCCCTACTCAGTTGGTGAGTAACTTGTTATTGGTTTTAAAACAACTTATGGTTGATGTTCCTCCGAGGTCGAGGTTCCCCTGAGTTTCGTCTCATAAAACAAAAACAAAAACTAACCACTGCAAAACAAAAGGAAAAGTGTTTTTTTTTTTTGACAAGGGCACAACCATTTCATTAATAGAGACCAAAGCTCGACATTACAGAAGGGGGGATAGTACATCCAGAATGTTGATCCATTCCTCTGGCAATTGGTTCTTAGCGCATGACCTTGCAACCCAGTCTGCCATGGAATTCCTTTTCCTATTTATCCAATCAATTCTGATGTTGGGAAAGCTGTTGGTGATGCTGAGAATGTTCCCCAGACAGGCTGCTGCCCGCCACGGCCAACAGCATGGACTTTCACGAAGAGCCTTGACTAAGGTCAGGCATTCCGAGAAAACCCGACAAGGGGCGTTGAGGATCACCGCAAACCGTGCCCCCTCAAGAAGAGCAATCGCTTCCGTCTCTATTGCTGAAAAGCAGTGCAGGTGCTCAGCCTTCCCATCCACAACTTCACCATGGCCGTTCGTTATAACAACGCCATATGCCGCCTCCTGGGAATCGTGAAAAAACGATCCATCACAGTGTACTACCATAGAGTGGGTACCTGGCGGTGGTGATGCTGGTTCAGGGGGTGAAACAGGCTGAGAAGGTGTTGATGTGATCTTAATCTTGGGGCAAGCTCTCCAACGTTGGGCTTCCTCCATTGCTCGGGAAACCGTAACAAAAGCCCCTTGGGATTTGTCTTTGAAGACTCTGTCGTTCCTTGCTTTCCACGTTTGCCACATCATGTATATGCAGTTCTGGATGAGCTCTGCAGGCGCGGTGGATGATAATGCATAGAGCCATTCAAGTACATTTGTCATGGGAGGGGGAGTGGTCAGTCCTGGGCATAACAAATTCCATCCCTCCTGCGCGTGGGGGCATCTGAAGAGGCAGTGGTGAATGGTTTCCGTCGGTTCGTCACACACCGGGCAAGAAGGGGAAATAGAACACCGGCGTCCATACAGGCCGTGTCTTGTGGCCAAGGCCCCTCTGGAAGCTCTCCAAATAAAAAACTTCATTTTTGGAGGTAGATGAAGCCCCCAAAGCCATTTCCACCTTTCCTTAGACATGTCTGGGAGGATCAGCTCTTCCCCTCGATCTCTTCTCCACTGGTGGTGGAAAGCGTGGAAAGTCGACTTGACCGTGAAAGCGCCCTTATCGTCATATCTCCAAGCCCAATAATCTTTCATAGAAGCGGGGCCAACTGGTGTAGCAATCACCTCCTGCATTTCCGACTGACTGAGGACTTCCTGTAAAACATCAAACCGCCATTCCCGTGAAATGGGATCAATACATTGAGCAACAGACGTGGTTGAGATGTTGGTGTCTTGTCTCAATGGGCCTGATCGTGCGAATAACCATGGGTCATGAAGAAGGCTAGTATCCAGGCCACTATTAATAACCTTGATGATCCCTCTTTCCATCCATTTCCTTGCCTCCCAGATCCCTGACCAGATCCACGAGGCTTTGCTACCTTTCTTTGCTTTTGTAAACTCCCCTCTGGGAAAATACAGAGCCTTCAGTACCCTGACCCATAAGGCTTCTGGGTTAGTGAGAATGCGCCATGCTTGCTTAGCTAACAGAGCGAGATTAAAGATGTGAAAAGGGCGAAATCCCAGCCCTCCTTCTTTCTTATGGGCATAGAGCACCCTTCCTGCTCTCCAGTGGATGGCCTTTTTAGATAGTGATCCACTCCAGAAGAATCTTTTGAGTAAGGCGTCCATTTTGGTAGTCATTGATCTAGGGAGGAGGAAAAGGCACATAACGTACGCGGGAACTGCCTGGAAAACTGCTTTGAGAAGAGTTTCCTTCCCTCCTGGAGAGAGTAGCAAACTTTTCCATGCTTCCCCTTTGGATTCCGGTCTCTGTATGAGGTAGTGGAACGTCTCTTTCTTCGATCTGCCCCACTCTGTTGGGACTCCCAGCTACTTTGAGTGCTCATTGGATCCCTCGAAATCAATGGAACTGGAGACACTTTCCTTCTCCTCCTCCGATACGTTTTGGCTGAAGAACACCGCTGATTTTTCCCGATTTACTTCCTGTCCCGTAACAGACCCGTAGTTATCCAGAATGCTTAGAATGGCCTGAGCTTCCAGGGCTGTCGCCTCTCCGAAAATCACTGTATCATCAGCGAAGAGGCAGTGAGTCAACAGTGGGCAGAACCTGTTTAGCTTGAGTCCTCGAATCTCCTGTTGCTGTACCGCTTTGTCGATGAGGAAAGAAAGCGAATTTGACATAAGGATGAACAGCAGGGGGGAGAGTGGGTCTCCCTGTCTCAATCCTCTCGTCGGGGAGAACTCTGAAGACGGCTCCCCATTCACCAGAATTCGAAATTTCACTGTTGAGATACAAGCTCTGACCCAGGAGATCCATACTTCGGAAAAACCATAAGCTCTTAACAGATAGAGCAATGATTCCCATTCGACGAGATCATAGGCTTTTCGCATATCTAGCTTTAGCATCATGTCTTTGCGGCTGCCTGCTCTGTTTTTCTTGAAGTGGTTTAATACTTCATGCACAATGACTATGTTGTCTTGAATCTGCCTACCTCCTGTAAAAGCTGCTTGAAGCTCGTTAACTAGACTTGGCAGCCAGATTTGCAATCTGTTGGTCATGATTTTTGTGATGACCTTGTATTTGAAATTGCAGCAACTAATAGGGCGAAATTGGGTGATCTTTTCTGGAGTATCCACTTTGGGAATGATGATGATGAATGTATCGTTCCATGATTCTGGCATCACACCACTGCTGAAGAAGTCTCTGATCTCTTCACAAAATTGCTCGCCCACCAGATTCCAAAATTTCCTGAAGAAGAGGCCCTGGTAACCATCTGGACCGGGTGCTTTGTTTGCCCCCAGTTGGAAGACAGCCTTTCGAATTTCTGTGGAGCTAAACTCAGCAGTGAGCTCTGCGTTGATCTGGGATGACACCAGCTGGGGGAAGCCTGACATTAGAGAATGGTCGAAAGGTACTCCCCTGGTCGTGAACAGGTCCCTGTAGAAAGTGTTAATATGATGGTCCAGTTCCTGGGTCTCCTCCAACCATCTACCTTCATCATTCATCAGCTTCAAAATTCTGTTTCTGCTCTTTCTCTTGACTGTGCTAGCGTGGAAAAACCCTGTGTTCTGATCCCCCTCTCGTAGCCAGCTATTTCTCGAAGTTTGTGCCCAGAATTCCTCTTCAGTATTCCAGATCATAGCAAGCTCACCCTGAAGGACTCTCTCATCCGTAATCATCTCCCTGGTTCTATCCGGGCCTTGCAAAATCTGAATTCTGGCCTTGATTTCCGATTCTCTTCTCATCTTGTTGTTACGGTCTCTTCGAGCCCAGCTTTGAAGTTCCTTCTGGCAGTCTTTCATTTTTTCCCCGATCTGACCTTCTCTATTCCATCTGTTAGCAATAATCTGACAGCATTCGTCATTGTCTCTCCATCTCTTATCAAATCTGAAGGGGGTGTGTCTGGCTTGGTGTCTGGGGTGGAGATCAACTCTGATCGGGCAGTGATCTGATTCGACAAAATCTTCGTGATGTACCACTGCTCTTTCAAAACAGACTCGCCACGAGGCCGAGCAGAGTGCTCTATCCAGTCTTTCGCGGATAAGGTTGTCCCCTTGTTGCTTATTGGACCAAGTGAAGGTCTGGCCAGAGTAACCCAAATCCATCAGCGCATTTTGCTCGATGAAATACTTAAAGGGAGCAACATTTTCATTACGAAGTGGGCACCGCCCCTGTTTTTCCCAAGGATACATAGCAACATTCAAATCCCCTAGAATCAACCACTTCTCATCCCGAGCTGCCCTAAGGTTCGTAATTCGATCCCAAAGGCTTCTCCTCTCCACCGCCGTGGTTGGAGCATGGATGAACGTACAAAAGAAAGTAACTCCATCCCTACAAATCCTAGTGTCCATATAGGACTTACATACATCAATGACACATAGGTCAACTCCTTCTTTCCACCAGAGTGCCAACCCACTCCCTTCTGTTGACGGGCTGACGTACTTTGAGTGATCCATCCTCAGTGCTCTCTTCTTCCCTTCCATAAACTGATCTTCTTTTTTTTGTTTCCATGAGGAACACCACTGAGGGGCCAAATTTTCGGCAAATTCTGCCGCAGTGGCCTCTTGTAAGGGGCTGGCCAAACCCCCTACAATTCCAGCTGATGATTCTCATGGTTGAGAAGGCGGCTTCTGGCCTGCCGCCGTCGCCATCGGGTAGCTAGATTCC